AGTTAAGCCTCTGACTTTGGTGGAGGTCATGATCTCACAGTTCAAGCCCTGCTTCAGATCTTCCGTCTGCCTCTCTCTCTCTGCCCCTCCCCAGCTCACGCTCTCTCTCTTTCTCAAAAATAATAAAATAAACATTTAAAAAAAAAAGGTATCCCACGTCTGTGGTTACCCCAGCCCCCAGGAGGATCTGGACCCTGGCTTGGCGTTAGGATGCAGAACCACCGAGAGCAGTAACACAGCCTTGCTCTGTATTATGATCAGCCGGGCCCAGCAGGGCCTGGCCAGTGGAGTGGGGCGGCACTGGCTGGAGCTGCCACCGAGATAAGGGACGTCGCTCCTGGTGTTAAGCCAGGCCACTCCCTGGACAATGTGTGCCCTTTCCCACGATGGCATTGGAGACGGCTCAGGTGGCGGCGCTTTGGTCCCCTCTCTACCCTGCTGAAGCTGGCATCTGCTTTTCTCTGCACGTGGCCACCCAGGCCCTGGATGAGGCCAGCCTGCTGTGACTAGCCTTGTGATCTCTTTGGGACCTTGGCTACCCTGACCCGAAAATGCAGAGGGAGGTCAAAATATGAAATTCCCACGAAGAGGTCTAGTTAAAGGACCGCGATGAGGTCCAGGTGAGGAGAGAGACTCTGTCTGTCTCGTGTCCTGCTGAGCTCTGAGCAAATGTTCAAATATGTGGCAGAGGAAATGCTAGTCTTATAGTCCCCACCAAATGCCCCGGACGTGTTCCTGGCCTGTGCACACAGATCATCTCCTGGAGAGGCAGAGAGAGACAAGAAAGCAGCTAATTAACCATCAGCTCTTTATTTACAGCTCACAAGAGCACATGCAACACACCATCACAGGATTACAAGGGCACCCCCCCTGCTGCCCCCATATTTTAAAGAGGAACCACAGCACCCCAGGGGAGTTCCCAAGAGTCAAAAAACCCAATGACGGAGGGCCCCAGGCCCAGGCGCTCCACTTGATTTACTCTGCAAATAGACCAGCTCCAGCCCATGGGAGTTTGTCCTTGCTGGTTATTAACTAGGCAAACCGAATCTCAGATTTGCCAGCTCACACCTGAATGTAAATGCCCTGAATTACCTACAAGCCCCAGACCATCCGACTTTTCTGTTTCCCCTTATATATCCCAGACCTGTGTCTCTCAAAGTTGATCGCGCACAAGAACAGCCTAGGTCTTGTTAAAATCCAGATGGCCGTGCTCCACCGGCAGAGATTTTGGTTCCGCAGACCTGGGGTGGGGCCCGGGATCCCACACTTCTAGCAGGCTCCCAGGTGAGGCCATTCTGCTGGTCTAGGACCACACTGTGAGCAAGGAGGGACTAGGGAACCTCTTGCACCCAGAGTAGGCTGAGAATCCTATATCAGACTGTCTGTCTTGACTTAGGGTTCAGAAAACACATTCCCTGCAATGAAAGTGTCTGGTTCTGCAAACCAATTCCTGCTGTCCCCTCCCCGCTCCCAGACACACACACACACACACACACACACACACACACACACACTCCTTGCTGTCTCCCATGAGAGGAAAGGTCATCATAGACGTGATGACACCAGCCCCGTGAAATCTCCAGCCAGGAGCTTACACGGTTGGCTCTTTTGGCTCCTCCCAGTGTCCCGCCCAGCACCCACTTTCCTTCCTCGCTTACAGAGATGCTCTTTGTAGGTTACGTGTTTGCTCACTGACTCTCCTGCTGCAAAGCAGACCCCATTCGGGGCAGCTGTGGGCCCACCGCCTCAACACTAGATTTTACTGGGTGTGTCGGATATGGCTTCGAGTAAGGATCCATCTGGGCGCTGGAAGGGATTATGGCTTTGGGAGTTGACTTGTTCTGGTCATTCCTCAAGGGTCAACTGAAGCTGTCCCATTCCCTGTGAGGCTGGGCCCTCACGTCCTCTGACCCTCAGCGCATTCCCAGCAGGCTGGGAAGTCACTCTTGGACAAATCCCAGAAAGGAGTCCCGTGGGAACCGTGGGCACCTCTGGGGAATGCCGTAGGCCACCCAACAAGCAGCTACTGGTCTCCACTTGGCCTCCTGCTCAGCTCTCTCTTGGGTTGTACTTAAATTCATGAACCTGTATCGCAATGCCACTAACACCTCTTCCAGCTCTGCCTCAGTGCCGGAATCGGCACATAGCTGCCTCTGGCTGAGTCCAGAACAGGTTTCTAAACTTCTCTGGCCACAGATCCCCACCCTCTCTTTTCTAAAGGAGTGCCTCCTGGCCCCAGTGCCCCAGGGGAAAGAGCCTGAATGATGACTTTGAAGTAATCCTTGAGTATGTGATGGATCATCGTCAAAGAACAGAACACCTACTAAAACTATCCTAGAAAACAAATTAGCCCACACTGGGGGCTTATTATGTGCCTGGCACTGTTCTAAACACGCTATAAGGATTTTACGTTTACTTCTCACAACATCTCTGTGAAGGGAGAGTCATGATTCCCATTTTACAGATGAGGAAATCAGGGCACACTAACTTTCCTAAGGTCACCAAAGTGGTTGAGAGGTGGAGCAGGCTGTTTGCTACCAGCTGCACTCCCATAGTCGAGAGGACAAGGGCAGAATTTGGGCCCAGCTGTACATTAGGCTTGTCTGGGGGAGCCTTGGACATACGCAGATCACCCCAGAGGAAGCCCAGACACACCCCAGATCAATGAAACCAGCACCTCTGCAGGTGGGCGTGGGCATCAGTACCTTGGAAAGCTCCCCATATTCTTCTAACGGGAAGCTGAGTTTGAGACCAGTGGACCACAGCAGGAACCTGGAAACTAGGGCCCATGGGCCAAATCCAACCCACCACCTGTTTGGGGATAATCTGCAAGTTAAGAGAGGTTTTTACATTTATAAATGGGTTTTAGAAGAATCAAACGAAGGATAATCGTTTGTGACATGTGACAATCATATGAAATTCAAACCTCAGTGTCCATAAATTGTTTTATTGGAACACAGCCTAACATATTTAACCGCCCTTTACAGTAAAAGCTTGCTGAATCCTGGATTAGGGAGAATTGGCTTCTGTACCAGCGAAAGAAATGTAGGATAGGCGTAAGGGAGAACTTTCTGGCAGAGAAGTTTGTTAAACACGGAGGGGGCTCTGGGATCCCTAACTCTGGTGTTAGGAGCTTCGCCCCTACAGACCACCTTTGCAACCACAACATGGAGGTAGCTAGGACAAACGGCTTCTAATCATGGAAGTGCCCTAGTAGACAGGGATAGTTCCGTGGGGACTTCTGTGTTTTCCATTGCTGATGTCCCCAGGCCATCCTGTTAGCTCCCAGACATAAGCGATGCTGTGTTTCCTGCCTGCGGCCACCCCCTTAGGGTCCAATCACAATCTCAGATCAGCCACCCCAGGTGAAGCACACACAGCATGGGTGTTGTCTGGTCTTAGACAAAACTGCTGGTGGATTTGATTTCCAAAGAGCCGGCTTTGATCTCGTCCAGTCCCCCTGCCCCACCCCCACGCCCACGATCCCCTTGACCATAGAACTTGAAAAGGGAGAAATGAGCAAGGATATTTGGTTTCTCCTAGATCTGTCTGCTCTGCTTGGTGCCAGACCCCTGACCCTGACTGATTTTCCCAATGGAGTAAACAGCCCTGGCATCGCGGGTGTGGTTCCTGTGGCAAGTGTCCAGGCCAGCGAGGAATTTGGACAGGGAAGGCTTTTGTCATTTGCAACCTGGATTGCCCTGGACTGGAGGGCTGAGCAGGAGTGAGGTGCCGTTTGTGTGTGGGTGGGGTGGGAGGGATTTAAGTGGCCCCTGGAGCCAGATCTGCTGGGAGAGATGTTCTGAGTGGGCATCTGTGGGTCTAGGTTATGGGGGGGCAGGTAGTTTCAAGCAGCACCTTGACCTCAGAGGTGCCCCAACTCCTCAGAAGGCTCTGCTGCAGAAGTGTGGTGTGGGGGTTCTAGAGATGGTCTGTGGGAGACCTGGAAACCGCTGAGGCAACATGCAAAACAGGTGCACCGTGCACGTTGTGTGCATTTCTTGAGTTCATATTAGCATTCGATTCGCAAAGGGTATGAACCACAGAAGCTTAAGACGCTATCAGGGCAACATCAAAGCCCACGTCCTGGGACATGCACTCCTTTTTCCCGAAACACAACATTATCTCAGAATACCAGCTCCCAGAGGGCAGAGGCCAATCTTCCCAAATCATGCCTTACCGGCAAGCGGCAGCTTAACACATGTTTTGTTCTTAAAGATGATACACCTTCACCCAGGGAAGGAAGAGAACGGTCAGTGTTTGTAGACTTCATCACAGGGAAAGGAACTACCAGGGAAGGCTTCCTTCTCACCGAAAGCCACGGAGAAGCCGGAATAAATCCTTGGTTGTGGAGAAGCAATCACATGCTGGGTCTAGGGAGCCAGGCAGGCCTGGCCCAGGTTCGGATCCTGGCTCTGGCATTTACTCCCTAGGACCTGGTGCTCCCAGTGGGGTCCCCGCCAGCAGCAGCATGTCCCGGGGAGCTTGTTAAAAATTCAGAAGCGACAGAACCATAATCTGCATTTTAGATCTCACCGGATTCTTAACATAGGTTGAGGTTTGAGGAGCATTGATCTGGGATCCCGGACAAGTCATAACTAACTCTGCCTCGGTTTTCCTCACCTCTGAAACGGTGATAATGCCCACTCTGAAAGGTCACTGTGATAACTAAGAGAGATATAATGCAGTGCCGGTACGTAAGAGGTGTTCGGCGCTCATCATCTTGGGTGCTCTGTCGCTGGGAGGTTTTCCCTTTTCGCGCTCAGAAACCTCTCCGTTGCAGTGCTGAGATCGGGCAGTAGAGGGCACTGTCGACATTGCCATGGCGGAGCACCCTGTCTCCCGCGGCCGCGAAGGCCTTGGGTCGTCCGGGGGGCGGGGAGGTGGGCGCAGGTGTGCCGCAGCGCGGCTCCGGGGCGGGGGCCGTTCGCCCAGGGCTCCCGTCCCAGGGCTGAGGGTCCCGGGCTTGCGCCTGCACCCTCGATCATCTAGTCCCCGTTTGATCTCGCACTGCTAGCTCTAAACAAATCGCCGGCTTCTCCAAACCTCGGCGCGCGGTCCCCAGGCCGGCGGGGAGGCGCCTCGCGCAGGGCCGCTAGACGTTGATGAAGGATCCCTGGTCGCCGTTGGCCGTGTCCGGCTCCACGCAGCGCCCCTTCCTCCGTGTGACCCTGCGGTTCCGGTGGAATTTGGCATAGCAGCGCAGCCCTGAGCGCAGAGAGACAAGGGGGTCAGGGGTGTTCTCTCTCCATCCCCTCACCGCCCCCCCATCTTCAGGTGGCTGGTTCCCACTGTCCCCTCTGGTCTGTCCTTTCTAAAACAACTCTGACGCCTTATCAGACCACCCTGGGTATTTTCTTTACGGCCCTTACTACTTTCTTTTTTTATTTAAAAAAAATTTTTTTTTTAATGTTTTATTTATTTCTAGGAGAGAGAGAGACAGCGTGAGCAGGGGAGGGTCAGAAAGAGAGGGAGTCACAGACTGAAACAGGCTCCAGGCTCTGAGCTGGCAGTCAGCACAGAGCCCAACGTGGGGCCCGAACCCACGAACCGCGAGATCATGACCTAAGCGAAAGTCGGACGCTTAACCGACTAAGCCACCCAGGCGCCCCAAGCCCTTACTACTTTCTAAAGATGTCTTATCAGGGGCGCCGGGGTGGCTCAGTTGGTTAGGCGTCTGACTTCAGCTCAGGTCACTATCTCACGATTCAGGAGTTCAAGCCCTGTGTTGGGCTCTGTGCTAACATCTCAGAGCCTGGAGCCTGCTCTGGATTCTGTGTCTCCCTCTCTCTGCCCCTCCCTGCTCACACTCTGTCTCTGTCCCAAAAATGAATAAACATTAAAAAGAAAAACTTTAAGACATCTTATCTCCTTATTTGTTTAGTATCTGCTCATCCCATTAGAATGGAATCCATGGGTTCCCTTTAGCTGGTTCTCTCTTTGCTGCTGAATCTTGAGTGTCCAGAATGGGTACCTGATACTCAACAACTATTTCTTGACTTGAGGGCCTGGGTGGCTCAATCCATTGAGCTTACGGCTCTTGGTCTCGACTCAGGTCATGATCTCATAGTTTGTGAGATCGAGCCCTGTGCTGGGCTCTGCACTGACTCCTCATAGCCTGCTTGGAATTATCTCTCTCTCTCTCTGTCCCACCCTTATTCTCTCTCTCTCTCTTTCAAAGCAAACAAAATATTTCTTGACTGACTAGACCTATGTAGCTTTATTGCTTTCACAGATCATTTTTTAAAAATTTTCCTAATACTTATTTATTTTTGAGAGAGAGAACGTGAGCCAGGGAGGGGCAGAGAGAGAGGGATACATGGAATCTGAAGCAGGCTCTAGGCTCTGAGCTGTCAGCACAGAGCCTGATGCGGGGCTCGGACCCACAAACCATGAGATCATGACCTGAGCCGAAGTCAGATGCTCAACCAACTGAGCCATCCAGGTGCCCCATCACAGTAGATAAGTTTTGAGGCTCATCTGAGTAAAAACAGGGCTTGTAGGGGCGCCTGGGTGGCTTAGTCGGTTAAGCGTCCGACTTTCGCTTAGGTCATGATCTCGCGGTTCATGGGTTCGAGCCCCGCGTCGGGCTCTGTGCTGACTGCCAGCTCAGAGCCTGGAGCCTGTTTCAGTCTGTGACTCCCTCTCTCTCTGACCCTCCCCTCCTCACGCTGTGTCTCTCTCTCTCTCCTAGAAATAAATAAAAACATTTAAAAAAACAAAAAAAAAAACAGGGCTTGTATCTCAGGATGGTTAATAGAGGGACTGAGTCCAAATTCGCCCACTCAGGACATGGGAACACTGATTAGCTATTGAATGATACCGAGTAATTATTGTTCACATTTGGTATTTTATTTTTAAAAGAGCACTTATCTTTTAGAGAGATATACTGAAATAATCACAGATGAAATATCTGTAAATTTCCAAGAATTGCTTCAAAATCATACCAGAACGGGGAATCGAGTGGGGGTGGGGTGAGGGAAGAGAGCAGAGACTGGCAGTGAGTTGGTAAATCCTGAAGCAGAGTGATTAGTCCAGGGGCTAATGACTGTAATAATGATTTCAAATACATATGCTTGGACATTTTTCAGAATACAGAATTAAAAGCATTCCCCTATTTTTCTAGCTGTGTGAGCCTGGCAAGTCACTTAACCTCTCTGAGCCTCAGTTGGTTTGTGTGTGAAATGGGGACTGTGACAGCTCCCTTCCCCGGAGGGTCGTGAGGATTACGGGAGACAGCGTGAGTGAAGTGCTTAGCACAAGCACCGGGTCCAGAGGGTTACACCTGGGCAGGTGGGGGCTCAGGAGAGTTAGGGACGTAGCCAGCCAGCCAGCCAAGCACATCCTCCCCTGGGACAGTGCTGGGAAATCCACCCCCCGCCCCTTGTTATCACACTTGGAATGCGTCCCCAGGGATAGAATTCTGGTATGAAAGCACCAGCCTTCTCAGATTTGATCTTATTTAAAGAGATGCGCTCCCCTCCACCCTTCTCCCACTTCCAGATCATAGGAGATCACGCCAGCTTGGATTTCAAGAGGTGAGAAAAGCAAATCTGAGAACCGATGCCAGGAATCAAGACTAAATGAGTTCACAGATTGGGAAGGCACCGAGCAAAGCTGCTCTTGCTCACGTTTTCAGCTCCCAAGGGATTCTTCTACTCTCTCCTTGGCCACAGGCCCCTTTGCCCACCTGCTTCAGAGCCCAGGGGACCCCCGCCCCAGGAGTGCGGGCTCACCTTCCATACACATGCAATCATCGAAGCATTTGTTGTTGAGGCCGCGGTTGTGGGGCGTGCAGAGGTGCTCCCGAAGGTCACAGCAGCTCCCTGCAGACACAGCAAGCGCGCGGTCAGCCAGGCTGCCCCGGATCCTCCCACCGGCCAGCATGCCGTCCCACTAGACAGGAGATCCATCATCTCTGTGGCAGGGCGCATCTGGTGCTCAAGTCTCCCTCCTGGGGCCGCCGAAGGATGCCATGGCCCAGGCCCCCCAGGGGCGGGTGGCAGAGACCCCAGCCGCCCCAGATGGGAAACTGATGGATCATGAGCAGAGCGAAGGCCAGAGAGGAATGGCTTCCCAGAGAGAGGGGGCAGAGCAGCTGGGGGGGTGTGGAGCTGGGAGGGGCTTCAGGGCTCATGGCTGCCAACGTCCACTTTGACAGATGGGAAAACTGAAGCCCCTCTCCCCTGCCCCCTGCCCCGCGGAAGCAGCAGGATGGTCCCCCGACGTCAGCCCGAGGCAGGGGGATGCCCACCACACACCGAGCCAGCTCTTAGGGAGCCATCCAGGTGGCCCCAAATCAAGCCTTTTCTTTGCGCTCAGGGTGAAAACCATGTTTCGGGGAGGAACTGGCTTGTCTGGGAGCTGGTGGTCTGCCTTTAACAAGCCACATTGCTGGCCTCCTTGCTACTTTGTGGAATATTCTGGCCACTGGATTCGCAAGCGTGGCACCGTAGAAGTGGACCACTTGGGTCTCCCGCTTTCTGTGTGGAAATGAGGGCTGCACTTAGCTGACGGCCACCTCCCGCCGCCCGCCTGCTCTGCAGCGCCCCATGGGGCCAGTTTCTATCCATTCGTCCTTGTGTTCACAGGTCTTCCCTCCCCCTCCCGCCCCCCACGTCAGGAGCCGCTTCGCAGGTGGGGGGCTGGGCGGAGGGGGATGTAATTGACCCAACAGGAGCCCACAGATTAGGACTTGCGTCCAGACATCAGGCACCCTGGTTTTAGACCCTCCTGATGGGCGCAGCTGCTGAACAGGTGAGGATGTCGTCACAGCATCACGCCCACCCCACCCCCCCCAGCCCACCTGTGTCAAAAGAGGACACGGACAGAATTAAGCCCTAACAGGTGTTAAGAGGAAGGTGCTCTCCTGGGGCGCCTGGGTGGCTCAGTCGGTTAAGCGTCCGACTTCGGCTCAGGTCATGATCTCACAGTTCGTGGGTTTGAGCCCCGTGTCTGGCTCTGTGCTGACAGCTCAGAGCCTGGAGCCTGCTTCGGGTTCTGTGTTTCCCTCTCTCTCTGACCCTCCCCTGCTCACGCTGTCTCTCTCTCTCTCAGAAATAAATAAAACATTAAAAAAAATTTTTTTTAAAAAGAGGAAGGTACTCTCCTGACTCGAGACAGCATGGGGCAGTGGTTAAGAGCCACACAGACTCAGGTCTGAGCTACTTCCTAGCTGTGCAACCTCAGCTGAGACTATAACCCTCTCTGAAGTTCGATTTCCTTGCCTGAAAACTGGGGATGACAGGGTCCATTTCTCTGGATTGCTATGAGGATTAAATAAAGTATGACAGGGGCGCCTGGGCGGCTCAGTCGGTTAAGTGTCTGACTTCGGCTCAGGTCATGATCTCACAGTTGGTGAATTCGAGCCCTACATCAGGCTCTGTGCTGACAGCTCAGAGCCTGGAGCCTGCTTCGGATTCTGCATCTCCCTCTCTCTCTGCCCCTCCCCTACTTGTGCTCTGTCTCACTCTCAAAAATAAATAAACATTAAAAACAGGGGCGCCTGGGTGGCTCAGTCGGTTAAGCGTCTGACTTCGGCTCAGGTCATGATCTCGTGGTTCATGGGTTTGAGCCCCGTGTCGGGCTCTGTCCTGACAGCCAGCTCAGAGCCTGGAGCCTGTTTCGGATTCTGTGTCTCCCTCTCTCTCTGACCCTCCTCTGCTCACTCTGTCTCTCTCTCTCAGAAATAAATATAACATTAAAAAAATTTTTTTAAATTAAAAACAATAAATAAATAAAGTATGACAGCGACTCTCAGGAAAGTGGTAGCTTTGGTTGTTATTATTTCTCATCCCCAAAAGATCATGGCCCCACAGGCCCTGCCCCCCCATGCAGCCTCCCCCCACCCCACCCCAACCATGACCCTGCACTGAGTCCTGCGCCCTGAAGGTAGGTGCTGGTTCAGTACCTGGCAGGCAGTCTTGATGATGGTCGCACGGCTCCCCTTCAGCCGGTGATGTTTCGTTACCATCGCTGGAGAGTTTACCCCGGTGTTTCTCTGGCAACAAGAAGATCTGAGGTCAGAAGCGGACGCCAAGCAGAGCAGAGAGACTCAGCACCTGGGTGCCAGGAATTGAGTGCTCATACTGCCCCCAAACCCCATACAGTGTGGCGTGGACAGGACTCTCTACCTCTCTCTCTCTCTGCCTTAGTCTTCTCTTCTGTAAAATGGGCTCAATAGCAGGATAAACCTAACAGGTTTTTTTTTTTTTTTCAGGGTCAAATGAGTTGGTGGAGGAAAATGTTTGGCATGTGATCAGCACTTGAGAACAAGATTTGCATTTTGGGTGTCAACTCCAACTTAGATGCCACGCCCTCCCACGCTGGACACCTGTAGGTGAGGCTGGGCTCCCTGGGGCCCCTACCGCACCCGACAGTAAGGGGGGTGAGGGAGCCCAGGCATGGGGGTGGAAGGCTGGGTGGACATACCTTTCTTCCTTGCAGAGGGCCAGACCTCAGGCTTTAAGTCTTCATAATCGGTCCAGTCGAACAAAGCCATGTCCAGTGTGGGCATCACCTCCCCATCAGGCCTGGGTGGAGCCTGCAGAAGGGACATGGAGAGGAGAGAGCCCAGAGCTACCAACAGGTGGGGGTTGAAATATGGGACCCCAGAACCAGGGGGTAAAAGAGGGGTTCCTTAGAGGCCAGTTCGTCCCCTGCTGGGCAGCCTGGAATCCTAGCCCTGGGGACACAGAGACTGCCTAAGCAGCTCTGTCACTCTGCAGCCACCACCCCCATGGGATGGTATCAATGCAGACAGGTGAATTATCCATTGGGTCCCCAAGGGAGGGACCGGGAAAGCATTCGTGCCCGCCCGGGGTTTCCACACCTATGCAGTCGGGGAGTTGGGTGAAGCCCAGCCACTCACTTCCCTGCCCCTTCTCTCTGCAAAGTCATGGGCTCTCTGTAGCACCATGAGGCTGCAGCCCAGCTCATCTTGCAGCCCCAGCCAGTGGTCTGGGGACCGGATCGGCGCACAGTAGGACATGGGCACTAACGGCTTCTTCTAGGGCTGGGTTCTTAACCAGTGGGCTTCAGGGGGCCTTCAACAGCATGGATAGTCATATATTCCTTAGAGAGGGTCCCTAGCTTTTATCAGAATCTCAAGGGGGCATAAGACCCAAAAGGGAATAAGAGCGATCTACTGCTTAAACAGTTTTGTTTCTTTGGGGCGCCTGGGTGGCTCAGTCGGTTAAGTGTGTGACTTTGGCTCAGGTCATGATCTTGCAGTCCGTGAGTTCAAGCCCCACCTCGGGCTCTGTGCTGACAGCTCAGAGCCTGGAGCCTGCTTCGGATTCTATCTCCCTCTCTCTCTGCCCCTCCCCTGCTCACACTCTGTGTCTCTCCTTCTCTCTCAAAAATAAACATTTAAAAAAAGTTTTCTTTCTTCTATACATATACTGTTTTGATCATCTTAAATGATTTTATTAGGAAAAAAACTCAAAGCCACAAAAGGGGTCCAAGAAGGATGCACTTCTTGTTAATTACAAGAACGATGCGATTAACCCCTGGATGCCCATTCATCTACAATCACCGGTGGTTGGCATATGTGCCATCTTTGCCTGCTTGCCCTCTCTCCATATATACTTTTTGAAGATCTGAAGCAGATAGGTCAAAGTGTTAACTTATGCTTGTTAATTCTGTGTCGTGGAGACACGGTTTTAAAAATCATTACTATTAATCCCTGGACATTTGGGTACACATTAGATTTTCCCCCGAGGTCCCTGCTTCTTTTCCATGCGGACCCAGCGTGCTGAGCAGGTACTTGCTTTCTTGCCTGTCCCTGGAGTGAACCTGAGGACCACTTTCTCCTGGACAGCAGCAGCCTTTTGAAGACAGAGCGTCTGCCGGGCTGCAGCTGAGCTGAACAGGCGTCAGGAGACCTGCTTTCCTTCTAGCCGCGGTGGCCTCAACCACCGCCCGCCCACCCCTGTGCCTCGGTCTCCCTAAATATACTCTGAGGCTATTCTTGGGCCCCTTACCTGGGGCCACAGGGATGTGACAGGCAGGATCAGGGACTCTTCTGTGGCAGGTGCTGCCTCGAAGGTGGTTAGGTAGAGTATGGTGGGGGCTAGGCTGCTGGAGGATTCCTCCATCGTGGCGTCCAGCGCCTCGTCCTCAGGGGGCTCTGCCTTCTTCATCAGGGAGCTGGGACCTCGGACCAAGGCTCGGCCTGAGACACAGAGTGGGAAACACAGGAGCTTTATCTGCTCACCCCCCTGTGTCCGCCCACAGCAAAACTCACATTTCCATCTGCAGGCAAGGGGGCAGCAGGGACTGTGGGACAGGGCTTTGGCTCGGCCACCACTCCTGTTGCCCACCTTCCTGGGGAGGTGGGAATGGGGGACTGGGGTGCTGGGGAGAGAGGAAGGAGGGAATGTCCTCAATGAACTTGCAGTGTTGCCGCGAGGAGGCAACCCAAAGAGTCTCTCTCTAAAGCAATGTTCCAGCAAGTTCAAGTCAGGTCAGCGGGCGTGGCCTGGGGTGTAAGTGCAACAAATGAGGACTAGTGGGATTAACCACAGAGGGCTTCCTGGAAGAGGTGAAGTTTGAGTAGGGGAGCAATGTGATGAGGCTAAGAGGCATGGCAGTGGGGGAGAGGTCGTTGAGATGGTAAGATCCACAGCTTATCATGTACAAGCGAGGGCTTCTTATGTAGTGATAATCATCACTGTTATTATTATTTTTTTAATGTTTTATTTATTTCTGAGAGAGAGAGAGAGAGAGAGACAGCGTGAGCAGGGGAGGGTCAGAGAGAGAGGGAGACAGAATCTGAAACAGGCTCCAGGCTCTGAGCTAGCTGTCAGCACAGAGCCTTATGTGGGGCTTGAACCCATGAACTGTGAGATCATGACCTGAGCTGAAGTCAGATGCCTAACCGACTGAGCCACCCAGGTGCCCCAATCATCTGTTTATTAAGCAGCTGCTGTGTGCCAGGCCCCTGTTATATGCTGGGTCCTGCTTTACATGCATTATTTCATCTAACCAAGGTAGGAACTCTTAGGAGATGGTGCTCCTTCAGTTTCATCTATGGTGTGTGTGTGGGGGGTGGGGGTGGAGGTGGAAACTGAAGCACAGAGAGGTTAGGCAACCCTCCTCAGGACACACAGCAAGGGGACAACAGAGTCTGGATTCAAACACAGGTCCATCTGAGCCCAAAGCCAATGTTTTTAACAACTGATGCCACCTCCCAAGATCCATGGGCATTGGGGTAAGTTGAGTGTGAGGGGGAGTGTACAGGACTGGGGGTGGCCAGGAGCAAAGAGGCTCTGAGAGAAGCTTGAGGGCCCGGGCTCACCCCTGCCTCTTTTTCTCAGGCAAGATCTGAGTGAAGTTTGATTGGGTCAGTCGGGGCCACCCCACCCCCCAGAAGCAAACCCCAGAGAGTAGAAAGGGGACTTAGGGACCATTGAATCTGCTCCATTTATTTTACAGACAAGGAAACTGGGGCCGGCAGTACTGGGCCTGACCTCTAGCACCATCCCCTCCTCCACTCACCCACCACACCGACTCTCTTAGGAGGGTCCCCTGGGTCCCATGGAGCTGGGGCCTGGAGCTGAGCCAGGATGACTTCACGCCCTGTGCGGCCTTGAGGATGCCAGCATCCCCTACCCAACCTGACCGTGACCTCCGAGGGTGGGAGGCTGAGTCTAGGCAGGGATCTCTTGACCGTGAATGGGGGGGCTCAGTTGGCCTAGCAAGGAAGAGGCCCCAGCTGTTGCAGGAGGTGGGGGTGCCAAGCCTCCATCCCTCTCCTCTTGGAGAACACCTGCCCCACATTTGTGGCACTTGGTCGGTCCTGGTGGCCTCGGGGCCAGGTCAGACAGGAGGTGCTGCCTGGGCGGAGCTTCAGGACATGTTCGTTCAGGGACTAAGTGGGCAAAGGAGGTGGCGGCTGGGGCCAGGGGGCAGCTGGGCCCTCACAGGGATTTGGGGGTGTGGGAGAAACAAGGAAGGTGAACAGGGCCGTGGGGGAGCACCCCAAGAGACGAACAGGACAGAGGCAGGAGGGATGAGGACACCTCGTCTCTCCCTGGGTCCTCTGCGCCCGGGTCAGGGGACGGTGACTCCACACTGAGACTAATTGACTCTCACATCGAGAATTAGCTAGTAACAGCTGCTGCTCACAGCGCCTGGCGCTTGCCAGGCGCCATTCTCAGCATCTAAGTCCTCTATGAATCCACACTCAGAGGAGATGGAGCCATTATCCTCATTTTGCAAAGGGGGAAACTGAGGCACAGAAAGGTGGCTTGCCCAGGGCAGGCAGCTGGTAAGTAGCAGAGCCGCAGCCGAACCTGGGCAGACCTAGTGCCGGAGTTCAAGCTCTCAGTCCCCGCTTTGGGATTCAGAGTTGATTAAGTGTTGACTAGGTCCCCTAGTTGGGGACCAAACTAGTCTATCTCTACCCCGGGCTTAGAGTAGGGCGGATTTCGGTCAGGTACAAGGTAGAACTTCCTGGGTTAGGAGGATCATTCCGATGCTCCAGCACCAGGTCTCTCCCAGCTCCCTCCCCGTACCAGATCGCTCTTTTGAGAGACTCCTTGCCCGCCTCTGGGGGCTCCCCGCCTCTAGGGGCTCCCCGCCTCTTTGGTGCTGCAGGACATCCTCCCCGGGTCCTCACACCATTGAAGCTTCCCCATTTCCCTTGTGTCCGCCCCCCCCTTGGAGTCCTCTTGGCCATTCAGCATGACCTTCCCTCATCTCCCCACCCCTCCCTTCCATGGCAGGACCCCACCCCCTCGCAGACCTCCGGCTACCTCGGTGCAGTTTCAACCTTTCCCTGCGTCTCTTGAACTCCCTGCCGCGCTTCTTGACCCTCTCTGACCCGGGAGACGGGTTCTCCTTCTCCGGGTAGGGCAGCGCCAGCCCCAGGAGCAGGTCCTTGTCCTCCAGGAGGCCTGCAGGACTCTGCCCAGGCAGCAGCTCCCCTGCCCCTGACAGCCTGGAGGCCCGCCTGGTGGTGGTGACCACAGCCCCGTCCTGGGCCCGGCCAGGCATGCCTGGGCCCCGCTCCTTCTTGCCCAGGCCCCGCCGGCGGTGGTGGCTGGTCTGAGGCATCCACAGCGCCGGGCCCTGGAGGTCGATGTGATTCTCAGGAAGGTTCCGAGCCGGGGTTCCAGGTCCCAGGGAGCCTGCCAGGCTCAGCTCCAAGAGCAGCAGGACGGCGAGGAACAGCATGGGCCCAATGCGGGTGCTGGGCGCAGCCATGAGCTCTGGTCTGTAAGAGAAGCAGCACCATGAGCAGACGGCTCGGCACCCCTCCACGTCTTCTGCCTCCCGGCTTCCGCAGATCGCCTCACGCACATCATTACAGCCCAGGGTCTCTGAGCAGGGATGGAGGGGGACTTGGCCCCCAGGGGACATTTGGCAATGCCTGGAGACCTTTTTGGGCGTCACAGCTGGCCAGTGCCGCTCATTCTCACGGCCGGGGTCAGGGATGCTGCTAAACACCCTACAGTCAGCACTGGGCGGCCCCACCGCGGAGACCGGCTGGCCCAGGAAGAACACGGTGCCGCGGCCGGAAGTCCTGGTTAGACTGGCTTCAGCACCATCCAGGTTCCAGATTAGTCTAGAAATCCCTTCTCCGCACAAACCTCTGTGCAAGTCCGCCCGGAATGAGCTGGGTCCTTCCACGCTCAGAAATAGGCCCGTCCTCCCCGAGGCTTGACGCCAAGCCTAAATTCGAACAAACAGAACAGCCTCTTTGAGCACGTGCCAGAGGCAGGAATCGGGTTCAGAGCTTTGCGGGAATTCATATCGCTTTGTCCTTTCAACAGCCCTCTGAGGCGGCTTCTAGAATGTTCTGGAGCAGGCACTAAGGCCCAGAGAGGTTAAGTCACACCTGGTAAGTGGCATGCGTGTAGCGGCCACGTCTGTGCTCTGAACCTCCCTCGTGGCTGTCCCCAAGCCAGCTCGTCGCCGTCCTTGCTCCTTTCTCTTCCTCGAAGGGGTGGGGAGGTTCTGGCACAGCCCTGTCTCTCCTGGGACTGAGGGACTTGGGAAGAAGCTTGGCTCTGTCCCCTGCAGGGTGGGGTGAGCCGGCCGGTCCTACCCTCAGGACAGCCCTCCATTCCCCACCAGAAGTGGGGCCTCCTCAGGGCTCGCACTGCCCTCCCCCTCTCCCCCCTGTGGGAGGAGGAAGCGACCCCTGGACGTAGCCAAGGCTCCTGAGGCCTGTGGCTGGGGACAGCGGGCATCTCTGGCGACTGCCCACTGTGGCCCCGCCTCCCCCATGGCCCCCACCCCTGTCCCAGTCTCGCTGCTGTTCAGACCAGTTCGGCACCAGGTTAGCCAGGCTGATTGAATTTTTATGGCCTCCCTGGGCCTCTTGCGTATCAGTGAGGCTGGCAGAGGTGCTTACGAGACCGTTTCCTCGTGATTTGTGGCCGTGTAATTGCCCGGGGCTGAGGAAAGGTTGGTGGGCCTGTGATAATTCCCAGCATCTATCTCTTCCTGCAGCTCTCAGTGCCTGCAGCCCGCACCCCCTCCCCCGTACAACCCCCCCCCCCCCCCCCCCCCCCCCCCCCCCCCCCCCCCCCCCCCCCCCCCGCTCCTCCGACAGCTTCACCTTCAGCCAATGGCAGTGAGGCTGTCGGGATGGGCAGGGAGGGCAGGCAGGCCAGGGAAGCCGGAGGGCTGACCCCCTCTGAGGGGTGGGGGGCCGAAGAGAGGGGGGTACAGGTCCTCCCACCTTGCCTGGCCCCAGGGTCCTTTATCCTGCTCTTCTTTCACCCCCGGTCCCCTGCTAGGAGGCCCAGACTCTGCCTCTGATGCCCTCAGCTCTGCTCCTGCTAGAACTTCGATTGAGAGAAAGAGGCAGTCTGTCCCCTGCCACCTGGGGAGCCGCCTGCGCTCCGGAGCTGCGGGGACCCCGGGATGGCGGGGCCAGCCGTGACCACTCCTGTCCCACAGCCTTCCGCTCCTAAGAGAGAAACTCTGCAGCCCCGGCCAGCCTTTCTGTCCACCTCACCCGCCACGAGAGGATTCTGCCCCATCAGCCTCACCTCCGGCCTCTCCATAATGAGGGCTGGAGGCCGGTGCTCAGGCAGCCGGGGAGGTGCTCCCAGCTCCCGAGGCAGCTGGGCGGGAGGAGGGGCCCGTTCTAAAGGCCTGTCAGTCAAGTATTGTTCTGCTCTGGGGAACCCCTTAAACCCTGTTTCCAGGCCTGAGGCAGATGCGGGCCACTCCCCAGGCTGGCGTTGGCCTCTGACTGAGAAAGGCTTGGCGGCGGTGTGGGGTGCTGTCCCCCACCCGCCCAGCCCTCAGTCTCAGGGGACAATAGCCTGGGGGAAGCCCACAGAACGCCCTTGCCTCGCCCTTCAGGGAAGCTTTGGAACCTTCCCCTCCCCCGATGGGAATAGGGAGGGGTGAGGCCGGTCCCTCCAGAAGTGCAGAAAGGGGCCAGAGGAGGCAGAGGAGGAGGGGTGGGCACACCCTCACGGGCCAGCACGCTTGACAGGAAGCAGATCGGTGACTGAGAGTCAAGGTGTGAGCTCGCTGACCAGCCAGGGCACTGTCTCAGAGGACAGCCCCTCCTCTGCAGAGCCGCAGGGAGAAGCCCAGCCCCAGGCCCTCAGGCATCACGAGCTCACTGGCTGCCACTGGAGTCCTGTTGCCAAGACACTCCCAAAGGCTGTGGGTCTGTATGGTACCCCGACCGACTTCAGGGCCATCTTTGTTCCCTCCCTCCCTTTGCACCCCACAAATCATGCACAAGCCAGCCTGGGGCAAGCAAGAGGGGATTTCAGTGCCTAGTGCCGATTGACACACCCACGGGGGGCCATTCTTCTCCCCAGACCTTATCAGCACCGTCTCTAACCTCCCCAGAGCAGCTCACGCTGCTGACAGATTTCTCTGACCATGATCCTTCCCTGCTCAAAACTGTCCTTGGCTCCCTATTGCCTTCCCATTAACTGCGACTCCTTACCTTGGCACTCCAGACCTCGTATAATGTGGCCCTGGCTTGGCTTTGCAGTCTTGACTTCTACTTCCTCCCCTTCATGGTCAACAGAGACTATTCTCTGGGCCCCAAACACACCCCATCTTTCCGGTCTCTCGTCTCGTCTCGCTTGGGCTGTCCCCTCTGCCTGAAACAACCTTGCCTCTCCACCCCCATCTCTCTCTGTCCAAATCCTGCCCATCCTCTGGGGTCCATCCCAAATGTCCTCTCTTCCAGGAAGCCTTGTCAGTTACAAATGCTCCCCACCGCGCCCCCACACAGCTTCGTCCAGCTCCTGAAGACCTCACGAGCCATCTTGTGCTGGGGCAGGCATTTTTAAAGACTCTGACTAGACAGAAAAATACTAGGGGGCTCTGTCCCACTCTTTCTCTTTGTTCCTATTACATCTATAGGACCCTGCAAATGACAGGCACTGACTATGGATGGGAATGAAAGTGGACTGAGCGCAAAGCGACCCTTAGCAGATCATAAATAAATTCCCAGGGTGGCGTGCATGTGTGTGTGTATGCACACGCGTGTGTGTTTGAGAGACAGCACAAGCGCTGGAGTGAGGGCTGGGGATCCTGGCACCACTTTGCCCTGATGACTGCATGGAGCCCTCTCTTCAAGCCCACAGGATTTATACGCAGATCTTGGCACAGCCCAGCAGCCAGGATGCCAGCCTGGCAGAGCGCCTCAGGAAACGTGGGCTGCTACAGAAGTCATACCAGGGATCCACAGCGAGGAAGGGCTCCAATCCATTTCTGTCACTCTGGAAGCCAGTTGGAGGCTGCATCACAAAGCGCCAAGCATCCAGGCAAAAAAGGGGCAGCAGCTCCCCCACATCCCCCACCCCCATCAGCCTCAGAGGGTTGTTCTGCCTGTGGCTGGCTCACAAAGTCCGCCGTTCCCCGGCCCGGGTCTCAGCCCAGCAGCCTAGAGCTGCCCTGGACGAGAGTTGTCGAGGGACTTCAAGAGCGTCCACAACCCAGAGACGGCCCTCTCATAACAGATCTAAGTGACTCATTAAAAGCAAAACAAGACAAAAGCAAATATAATTGCAGGAGCCGCCGCCGCTCTTTCCCTGGGCAACGGAGGAGCCCAGGCTCTGAAGTACGACTTTGTCCACCTCTTCCTGCATCCCACTCAGCTGCTCTGTGCAGCATGTCATTCTCCACATGTTTAAAATGAGGAAACCGAGGCTCTGGAGGGGGAAGGGGGGTGAGCCATACATCCAAGACGATGCAACTCACCCAGTACACACGGATGGTCCTTGCACACCACTGACCATGCACTGAGTTTCTTCGGGGGTCACCTGCCTCCCCCTCATAATCTGTCATTGCCGTGAGTGCAGTCAAGGCCCAAGAGGGGGATGGGGCACTGGCAGCTGGGGACGGAGGGGAAAGAATTTACCTCATGTCCTTAAGCTGTCCCTATGAGGTGGGGACAATTGACCTGGAGCTGTCTCCATCCAAAGGCTGCACATGCAGATGAAGGCAATTAATCGAGCCTGGAGTCCACCATGATTCCTGAGCCCCTCCCCCACCAACAGCCTGGCATTTGGGGGCCAGGAGACTAGGGGGGGCTCCTGCCCCCGCTGCCTGGCAGACAACTGTGGAGCTAGACTGCTATCAGGCACCCCAGGACAGCTGTAGGGCTCATATTCCTGCCTTGCTGGTCAGCTCACCAGCAGCAGGGTGGGTCTGGGGCGGGAGGGGGGAGGGGGCGGGGAGGAAGGGGGATGGGTGACTGGGGGAGTAGAGCTGGCGGAGGCAGGGGGTCTGATGGGGATCCTGGGCCAGGAATATCAGTGATGCTCTGATAGAGCAGAGGATTAGGGAGCTCAGGCCAGGCCGCGCGCCAGACACCACCCACTGGGAGAACTTGGCCCACCAACCCCCTCTCCCTGACTGTGGGTCTCCTCCTCACGTGTGAACAGGATACATCGGAGCCACCATATTTGGTAGAGATATTTCAGGGCTTCTTTACACATTTGATTCTAACGTCACTTCTTTTAAAGAGATATATTTTAAACTATTCCAAAAGCTGTAGCAAGGACAGCAGACACATTCTCTGCTCACATTTTAACACAAGCGCTGCTCCATCACAACTTGGGCTTCTCCTGGGTCACTGAAGAATGTTCTAGGGGCTCAAGGTGAGCAGTTTAAAAGAAAGACGGTTGGGGGGGGGCGCCTGGGTGGCTCAGTCGGTTGAGCATCCGACTCTCCATCTTGGCTCAGGTCATGATCTCATGAACTCTTTGTGGGTTCGAGCTCTGC